GTAGTTTTTTAGCTTATGAACTAAACTGTTGAAATTTTTATTTTGAAAGATATCTTTTCAAACATAAGATAGAGAAGATGCAAAATAGCTTAGTCCAAAGTTGTGGAAACCTCTATATTTTCAGATATTTATTCTGATAAAAGAGAAAGTTTTTTTACTATATTATATGCTGCAGGTGTTGCCCATAAAACTATAGTTTGAATGGTTTGGAAAAAGTATTTCACCACTCTTATTTTTTATAAGAAAAACTAACCTCAAGGTTTTAGAATATTTTAAGATGAAAATAAAATGTTTCAGAAAGGAATTGAGTCTTTGCCAAGGGGTAGCGTGACACAGTTCATTTAAAAGAAATCATTTTAAAAAGTTAGGGCGCTAACTTCCCCCCGAAAATTCAAAAAGAACGCCAGACAAATGTTAACAAAATATTTATTATTATATTCCCACATGCTAAGATATCCATATTTTGAAGAAAATATTCTGTTACTAGAGACATTAGGAATTTTTTTCCAGTTTGAAAGTAATTTTTGCATAGTAATTTTAGTTTCATTGATTTTTTTCGTCTCAATTTTTAATTTTTATATTTTAACAGAATGTACAAATCAACCCCCCCAATTTAAATTTTTATATTTTAACAGAATGTACAAATCGACCCTCCTTTACTCTATCCTGTATTTTCTAGGGAGGACTTTTCGGCGGAGCTGCAAACTCACCTTTATGGATTCCACTTGGTCGAAGGAAGCGATCAGTTTCACAGATAGATCTTCTATCCCCCGCTAGCTTGAAAACCAACTCTAGAAGCAAGTGGAATCCTTCTCTCAACTCAGGAAACAGTTTCAGATATTGAATTGTTAACAATTCCAAAGATTGGTTAGAAATAAACCGAACTTAAACAAAATAAAAAGGGACTGTACACTTTTTTCAAGTTACCCTACATGCAAAGATGGCAATGCCCAATTCACATCGGTACCCTTGAAACCTTTATAAAAACAATAGTTTAGAAGATAAAGTTATTTTTCTAGGATTAAAGTGTTTAGTTCTATGTGGTTTTCTGCAGTAGAAATGCGCAAGTCTTTGTAAACAAACAAAATTGAAAAAAATCAGTTAATATCTAATAAATACTTGATTAAACAAAGCTTTTAAGGATACCGTTAAGAATCGGGTATTGCCATCTGTGCATGGAGGGCCAGGTATTGATGTTACAGTCCCTTTCAAGTACGAACCAAAATGTTGCGCTTGCAATTTTTTTCGAAGTCCGGTTATATACGCCACTGTAGTACATGTTTTCCTATAGTACATATGGACGTAAAATGTGTGCATTTGATTTATACTTTAGATTGTTTATAGTTTAAATATCGTATTGAACTTTTTGGTGACATTTTGTTGTTTTTGTTGTTACTTGTTGCAAATATTAAAAACACATTTTTAAATGCGTGCAGCTATTATTTTCTAAGCTTTCAAGTTTACTTCGTAATTTTGTTCTGTCATTAATTTTATCTAGGTTGTACACACGTAACATTTTTTTTTAAAGTATTGTCTTGATCATATTAAAATGAAGTATAATAAGGGTATAGTAAGTCTATAAGGATAGAGGGGGTTAATCTTGTGTATATTTTACAATCCGACTTTCCTTCCTTTCCAACCTTTGTTTACAAACACTGTTATTGTTTTGATAAAACAAGTTCAATTACATAACAGTCAAAGTGTACACAAATCCTATCCCCCCCTATCTTTAAAATACATAACCTGAAGTATGATGAAAAGGAGATGAACGCAATTTTTCCTCATAGAGATCTATTTTTCTCTTATTCGTCAAACATTTGAAACAAATTGGCTGATCTGACCCCGACTTAAATTTTTTTTTTTTTAATTTAACCTAATAGCAAACCTTTTGTATTCTTTTTCAAACCCTTTTGAATAACTTTTGCGTTTGACAGATGCTCAACTAATTTGGTCTACGCAATATGTATTTTTTTATTAATTAGATTTAAAATTATTTGATGTTTGTAAACTCTAGGCTGATGAATAATAAACACATAACGTCAAATTTATTCATTCAATATAATGTTCAATACTTAATCGTATTAATCTTCCTTACTCTTCATTCACAAGGTCCTATACATGGACTTTGTTTTTTCTTCGTTTAAAAAATTGATTTTTTTCGGAGGCTCTTTAAGCATCTAAAACATAATGTCAAAATTTTATTCTCATAAAGTTTTCTTTTATTTACATTTTTCAAAATTTAGAATAATAGGGATTCCGCTTTTATATGTATAATTGGTAAATTTATTGGTATAATTGGTTTTCTTTTTATGGTGGGGTTGTACGGTCCGACTCAATCTCAACTTTAAATTAGGTTTACAGTTTTTATACCAAAATTTTAAATTTAAAAAGTCGTGTTAGAATTTTTGTTTTTGCTAATAAGTATATTTTTGGATTGGGAGTATTAGTGTTCTTTATAATACTGTAAAACTACCATTAAACAAACTATTTTTCTTTCATTGTATATTTTTATTTCTACTGTTTAGGTAAAATATTACTACCATCATAAATTGATCAATTTTCTACAAACGAAGACAGAAGGAGAATTGTCAAATTTACAAGACACTACTGGTCCGGCATTAAGACCTCGAAGCACCTTTAGTTTTAATTTTATGCACAAGTATCCGGTTATATAACTATTTTTTTCAATAGCTCTGAAACCAGAGGAGTTATGATTAAAAACATGTAAGATTTCAATCTTGCGTGTAATTCTTTTTTTTATATCTTCAGTTTTGCATAAATACGAATACTTTTTACAAAACTGTATCCACCAACTATTTTGAAAAATAAAACCCTTTACTTTACGTGATTTAATCAGAAAAATAAATTAAATTTTAGTTTAAAGCTGGACAACTAAGAGTATGTCAATTATCATTCTTAGTGCAATTCATGTAATTATTGCTTGACAAATCTTGAATTGCTAGTTGAACTGCTTATTAGGTGCACTCTCGGCTTCAATAAAAAAATTCAATAATCGTACTAAATTCAACTTATTTTCACTATGCATTAATGCATTAATCGGATGCATTTCGATATTCACATGGAAATTAAATTTGGAGTTGACACAAGTAATTCTAAAAATAGTAGCGAGAAAGTTACAACAATTTTAAAATATGGCGAAATTGGCAATCTCCAAAATTCCAAAATATGGATATTTTGGAAAAATTCCTTATAGAATTATAAATATACCACATCTTAGAACGGTACGCTCAATGAATCAGCCCCTTCTAAAGAGGGGAGATTATAGTGGCGTAGGTATTGCAGATGGGTTGACTGTCATTAACAAACCTCAATGACCCTACATTTAAAAATTCTGTCTGAGTTTTTCCTGTCACAACTGTTAACTATATCCGCTGATACAGGGTGACTCACGAAACATGACAGTTGAGAGACAACTGGAATATCGTCTTTGACCTTTATATTTATTTGTGGCTTTCATTCGTCAAATCAATCCTAAAGCAAAATGTTTGAATTAATAAATAAAAAAATACCCCTGGTTCTGGCATTTTAAATATTTGCCCTGTCATCTTTTTACTTTTAAAGTTCAATTTCTTTCAGAATTCGACAATTTAAGTTTTATTTGATAAATTGAAATCTGGGCAAACTTCTTAATATCTCCGGTAATATTGAAAGCACAAAAAAAGCCAGATGAATTTCAGGAGATTTTTGTGTTTCAAGAATACAGTTGACAAATAAATGCCGCATGCATATTATTTCCTAGAACAAAGACGATATTCAAGCTCTTACTCTTTACTGTCATTTAATGTCGTGGAACACCAGCTGTATATGATATATTTGTACAAAATTTCTAAAATAAAATTCATGCCGTGATTTGTATTTTCTTTACGGCGTGTTTTGCAGGTTTTTTAAAACCTATGACACAGCTATTTTCATTTAAGGTTTTACTCAAGTATAGAATTGAAACAATCATGCTGAGGAAAATACTTTGAAGGGACTGTGCGCGTAATTTCAAGTGACCCTAGATTTCCAAAATGGCGTTTTCGATTCACAATTGCTAACTTTGAGCGTTTAAAATTTTGACTGATCAAGGATGACGTATTTATCCTAATTTATCTACAGAAACACTTTAATTTAAATTTACCGAGTTTAGGGGACTGTTCAGTGCGCATACTTATTGCTAACCCTATAACGGCTGGGTTTGGGTGCTGGCAAGGTTTGAGAAAAGGACCAAGAAAAGGGTCGAAAAAATGTAAAAAATATTTTTTGTTTTGTTTTTTACAAATATAAAGATGTTTAAAATAGAATGTGTAACACATTCTATTTTAAATTTGTTAACACAAACTGAACTGTTCACTGCCTGCACCCTACCCTATGCATTAAAAAAAATCCCAACATAATCCGTTAAATTACTATTCCTTGAAGTTAAAAATCAAAGAATTTCAAGGTGATAGTTAAAAAATTAGAGTGTTAGGGCAAAATAAACTGAATAGGGGAGAGGGGGGGGGGCACAAACAAACCCAATCCACGCCTATATAGGGTTAAATTCTTTTGTTTATTCTCAGGATGAGTCCCAAAAATATTTTGATTTTGATTTTTGTTTTAATGTTTTAAAACCTAAAATCTTAAGGAAACAAAATGTAGAAAATTTTGTACGAAATTTCATTTTTTGATTAATAGTTTTAACATTTATTTGTAAATGTTTTAACATTACTCTTATATCTCACATTGTGTGGTGAAAACTTTAATGGGAGATGAACTGATATTGGACAGGTCTCTCTTGCGTTCTTAGGAGAAAAACGATTAGTTTCTTTAATAATAATAATACTTCTAAAACGTGCATTTGTTCGTAAAATCGAATAACCAAAGTTAGAAACGTTATAAATTTTCACCATCATTTAACAAAATATAGATACTAAAGATGTTAAATGGAGTTTTTTTTAGTTAATTTTTTATAGAAATTAAACGATTTAGTAATGTTCATTTTTATTTTCTATGTTTATTTGAATAATAAAAAAGACTACATTTTATGAACAATGAAACTTCCACAGTAATCTGTGAAGAAGATTTTCCAGTTGTAGAACTCCTTTGCAAGGGTGCTCAATTCTAAGATGAGAATCTTTTAAAGTTTTTGAAATTTCTTCAATTGCTGCATCTAAAGAAAGGGACTGGGTCCAGTTTTCACTGAGCATCAATTTAATATCTTTCTCAAGTTGATCAATATTGTCCCCTGGATTCAAGGGAATAAAGTTCAAACTCATCTTTTGCTCAGTTTTCCAGCCTTCAATGCATGGTTTACATTCACAGATAAAGTTGTATCGTTGAGTTGTATCATGTCTTGTAATCCGATCCACCATGAAAAATGTTGGTGAGTACACATCACTAATCTCCTCATCTTTCCTTATCAGTCGTGTCGCAAACGCCAAAGATCTTCTACCAGTCATAACTCTGGCATAGTTTGGATCACAGCTGTGATTAATCAAAGCCAAAGATGGATTCAAGCAACAGCCAATTTTCTCTACGTTTTCACCAATAAGTTCGGTAACCTCATGGGAATTGAAAAAGGTTACTCTCATAAAATGCAGCAAAAGAATTCCGACCTCTAATTCAACACTTGAAAGCTCATTTGAGGATGAAATTTCATTTTTGAAATACCCGGAAGTTTTTAATACCCGAAGGTAAAAAAGAGCAGTAAGGGCTTCTTTCATTAAAACAGGGGCTTCTATATCTCCTGAATCTTTGTGAGTAACTAGATTGTACACGGTAGAAATAGCATTGGAAGAATATGAATTCAATTTTGCTAGATAAGGTTTAGTTGCCCAGTAACTTGCTGGTTTTCCTGACACAATTCTTAGCGCTAGGTGCCACACACCAGTATCAGCTTTGAATATTTGATCCATCAGCAAGCATTCTGAACTATGAAAAGTTGCCGCTGCTCTACATTTTACAGAACAAAAATATACCGATGCACAACCTAGACAAGATATAAGGTATTCTGATTTGATCAGACAGAACTCACAGTGCGTCTCTCTATATCTTCTATCGAGTAAAGCCACATAACTGTTTTCATCTGCAATAAGTTCCCCAGGGTTGATATTTTTATCAGCCACCAAAAACCGTCCTCCTTTTTTACTTGATCCTAAATTCACGCTGCTAGAAAAGTTTTGCAAAAATTTATGAAAAATAATTTGTGTTTCAATCGTTGCCTCCTTGATTTTCTTTTTCTCAGAACACTCACATTTGTCCTGTAGCAGTTTGATATTTTCTAGATCTTTCTTGTTTTTGCTTTGTATTTCACATAAGTCGAATAATGCATACTCAAACATATTTCGTTCAAACCATTTTGAAGCTCTAAATCTAAAGACAGAATCTAGATTACTGCCAGGAGGTGCAAATCCTAGAGCTTGTTGTATAAGTTTTAGTTGTAAGTCTTTTTCAGACCTTTTTGACTTTTCAAGAAGGGCATTGCTTAAAACATCATTCTTTCTTCCAGAACTTTTTGATTGATCTAAAAACTGTTGAAAACTGCAAATGGAGTAGCTGGATAACAACTTTATTCTTCTTAAATTTGCTTTATCTGAATCCTCATCGTCGTTCCAGACTGAAATATTCTTGGTCAAACTAATATCATTGAAAATATTCTGCAAGAAGCTCATTGTAATCTATATTAAGGTGCCGGTCAAACTATGTAATGTATTGTATACTTTTATTTTAAAAGGAAAGCAGTTTATATATACTTTCTTTTTACTTCATTTGCTTTCCTTTCTATTTTTCTATAACTCCTTTCTTTTTATCCTTTACCTTTCTATTATTTAACCCTCTCTCTTTCCTTTTTGATTGTCCTTCTTTTTCCTTCTAATGTGTTCTTTTCTTTGGCCTAAAACTTGTGAACGAACTTATTTATTGACTGCAGTAAAACAAATTTATCAGAACCGAATTTAAAGATTTTGAGCCGTGTCACAAACTCTGATTTTCTAATCACTATATCTTTTGAACCAAATGTTGCAGACCTTAGATATTTCAAACTATGAATTCTGCTAGATCAAATAATCTGAGTTTGAAATATCAAAGGTTCACAACATCGAGTTCTAAAGATATTGAGGTTTAAATATTGGATTTTGTTCCAAAGATTCAATTCCTTTGAGACGTGCCTCAAACATAGTTGGCTCTAATTGAAATTGTATTCAGTTTTTCTAGATTTGGGCCGGCGCTCAATTTGAACCGGTTTTTGGCGGTTTACCTTAACAGTTCCCTTAAGCAGTGAAAACTTTAATCAGTTAAATCAAAATATCTGAAATCCTTTTCAGCCAACAGTTTTAATGCTCCGAATTAAGTGCAAAATAAAAAGATTCCTTTTGTTAAAAAAAATTAGATAACATTTAGATTCATACATTTTTTTAATAAAAACGTATTATTTTGTCTAAAAGCAGCTTTTAAGGTTTCACAGAATGTTTTATCCTTGTATTTTATAACAACTTTTTTTTTTGAAAAATTAAAATAGTTGGTTTTAACTAGAAAATTAAAACATAGTTTGTCCAGTTATTTGAAAAAAAGTTTTGTATTGAAATTCGCTCTTGAAAAAAAAAAGAATGAATGATGGTAGAATCTATAGAGTGGGTTTTCAAATGTTTTCATTTAACTAATTTCAAGGTCAACTTAATTTGCGAAGCAAAATCGAAAGATTTATATTTAGTTTCAATTTTAAAAAGTTAACTCAATGAATATAGAAAAATATATTATTCTAATAGTCAAATATTTTGTCCTAAAATGCAAATTAAAAATTTGCAGATACAAATACAAATAAATAGAATTTGTCCAGACTTGAGTATTGTTATCGTCCAATTTTTAAAAAATTCCTGATTTTTAGGCTTTCAGTTGTAGAGATGGGCATCGTTTTGTGGACAAACAACATTTTTGAGAAAAAACTGCCTTTTTGAGAAGGAACACAATTGTTCTTCAACATCTCGTGTCATTCAGGAAAAAAAATATTGGACAAATGACTTGGATCAAAAAAATTTCCAAACAATTTTGAAAAAAAATTTCACCGATCATTGGCTTTTTGGAACAAAATTATCAAATTTGTTTAAATTTTGTTTAATACAAAATTATGACAAAACCACTTTTCTTTACTGTAAGAACAATTTTATTGAGCAAACGATTTTTCTGAACCTACGATTAACTGAACGATCGTTTAATAAAAAAACTAACGAAAGAGATGGAAAATTAACTATAACTTTGAAAATGAACAAAAAAATTTTTTGAACGACTAAAAAATGAGCGAAATGATTCGTTCACGTACGAAATAAAAAAAAGCTGAACGCGCCCATCTCTACTTTTAGGAGATTCCTCCACAAAACATATTTAAAAATTGTATTCTCTAAAAGTGTTTTTATTACACTATGCCAACTCTTGCCTCTGGTTAAGAAGTAAAAAAGAACGTTTTTCAAATTCTATGTAAATTTAATTTGCTTTGTTCAGGGTTAAAATTTATGTCCGATTCATAGGAAATGAGGTTTTGCCACAAACTCAAATTTTATAATCCTTTTATTGTGGCAACCTGATGGTGGAAACCCTTGATATTCCAATAATAGGCTATTTGATCTAACAGAACTCATAGTTTGAAATATCTAAGATCTACGAAATTGGGTTGCAAAGATATAGGTAGTAGAAAATCAGAGTTTGTGACAAAGACTCAATTCCTTTGTTCATAATTTTATGAGAAAAAGGAAGCTGATAAAATATTCAATTTTGAGTTTATTTAGTTTTCTTAGATTTTTTTAGAGTCGCCAAAACACCAAAATTGGTAGAATATGTGAAAAACTAAAGATATCCAACTCTAAATTGGACATACAATTATGGTCACCTAGATTCAGCCTGCTATGAAATGTTGCATCAATATTCAAGATTAGTTATAGAAGTAATTGGAAATATACTCATAGATTTTTGCGTAGGGCAATTGTAATTTGTAATTTTCTAATTACAGTGGGTTAATACTTTAGATCTCAAACCCACCTTAGAATAATTTCTGAAACAGGTTTTAAAAAATGTTTCGAAAAGGTTAGAGTTTCTCCAGAAGATGGGAGAGTATGAAATCTCTATTAAAGATGTAATAAACCACATAGATTCAGCCTCCTTATAAACAGTCTCATCAATTTTTAAGACAGGGCTGACTTTGAAGTGTCGCAACGCCCTAAGCTTAAATTTTACCGCTCTAACTCACTTATGCTTTTCTGTAGCCCTTTACATGTACATTTTAGTACTGTAAAGCACTTGTTGTTAGATGTGGTTTTTTAGAAGTTATTGGCAAAATTCTCAACGATTTTTGCTTGAGAGCGTGAGACCATTAAATCGCAGTGAAACGATTCACTCACAAAAAAAAACTTTTAATCCTTTGAATAAAATAAAGAAATCCCACACGCTGCATTGGAAAAAAATAGCCACATGGTACTCATTTTAGTAAGAATTGTTCTTATGAGTGTGAACTCAGTAATGAGTATCGTCTTTGTTTCCCCTCTACTTTTAATAAATTGCAACTATTCCACTTAATAAATTTTTTTTAAAATGTTAAGTGTACTTTTCTATCAATAGTTCAGTTGCTAATTGCAAAATACAAGAAAAAAGAAGAAAACAATAACCCACTTTTTCTGGTTCCTAGTGTATTTGAATCTTATTCGAAATTAAGTGAAAATTATTTTAAACTCTCAGTTATTGCAGAGTTTATTGGAAAACTTTTGAAATGTTATAACATTTAATAACTTCCGAATCAGAGAACTTTACACTCCTTTTCACAAAATATCTCTCTTTACACTCCTTTTCACAAAATATCTCTCTTTACACTCCTTTTCACAAAATATCTCTCTTTACACTCCTTTTCACAAAATATCTCTCTCTTTTAGTTGCAGAGAGCAACCCTCCAGGAATGACATTTTGAATGTAACGATTTCCATACGTAAAATTTAACCTTTTAAAATTGATATATAATAGTCTGAAATGTAAATGAAAATAATGATAGTTTTGATTAATTTTAATCATTATTGTTACTGCTCAAAAGATTTACTAATCCTTATTTTCGAATGATGGGTTTATATAAAGAAAAAAATGAAACTGTTAAACTACCCAGGGTATTCAATTTACTCGGAACCTGAATCCATCAAGGAAAGAAGCAATCAAGAACTCATGGAACAACTGAGGAATGTATATTATTATTATTTTTGTATTTTTTCAACCCAGAACTTCGTCGTCGTCTTGACAAAGAAATTGAGTCTTTGTAACAAACTCTAATTTTCTAATACCTATATTTTTTCCACCTAATGGTGTAAACCTTTCATATTTCAAACTTGGATTTTTTCATCTAACAGAATTCATAGTTTGAAATATCTAAGGTCTACGGCATTTGATTACAAAGATATAGAGATTAGAAAATCATAGTTTGTGAAAAAGACTCAATTTCTTTTCAATGAGTTTTATACTTTTACTAGCTTGGGAACCCAGTGGTAGTCATGTGTTAGTCCCACCATTTACCCGCGCGTTGTCCTAAATAACAATTTTAGATATTTTTCTCTAAAAACCATGTTCAAAACATTCCCGTGGCTCTTCCGAGTTCCCCCATCAATATTTGAGACAACCCGTTCCTTTGTTCCTGAGTTAAATCTCAGTAATGGTGAAAATAAAGAAAAAGGTCTGAAATATGCAGAACAGTTTTAAAGAGCTCCATTAAACAGTTCATTAAAAAAATCTGCAGCATTTCATTTTAAGTTTAACAGTAGGGTTAGAAAACTGTACTAATCCCGTGGACTACAGATAATTATAAATAGGCACAAAATATCCTTTATTAGTGAACACCAGGACGATAAAAGAAAAACTTATTAAATGCGGAAGAAAAATCAAAGATCTGAATTATTTTTATTTAGTTGAAATAGAACTTTTATAGATATATTGCTGGGAGTATTTAACTCATACTCACTTTTCATTAATTCTAACCTCTGATTATCCTAAATCTTTTAAGTTCTAACTTAAATCTTTAAATTTGTTTGGAAGGTTTGTTTTCTTTAAATCTTCAAGTTGCTTCCAAGAATGCATATTAAACTTTTTATTACAGAATAAAATTTAAATGTAAAACTTAATTCTTCATAAACTTTTAAACAAAACTTGGAAAATTGAGAATCTATTTAATACATCCTGTTGTTAGTATATCCTCCCCGACAATGCAATATTGCTTCTGAAAGGACAGGGAGGACAAGTTAAATATTTTCCAAAACAAAACTCGATGAAAAAATATATTTTTCAAAATTTTAATTTTTGTAAATAAAGTTGATTACAAATTTTATTTTTCACATTGCTTTATGTTAATTTAACAGAAACCATTTCACGTTGCTTTATGTTAAATGAGCGGAAATCCTTTCACGTTGCTTTATGCTATTTGAGCGGAAATCGTTTCATGTTGCTTTATGTTAATTGAGCGGAAATCCTTCCACGTTGCTTTATGTTAATTGAGCGGAAATCCTTTCACGTTGCTTTATGTTAATTAAGTGAAAATCCTTTGCTTTAGGTTAATTGAGCGGAAATCTTTCACGTTGCATTATGTTAACTGAGCGGAAATCCCTCCACGTTGCCTTACGTTAATTGAACGGAAATTGTTCCACGTTGCCTTATGTTAATTGAGCGGAAATCCTT